TTTCTTTCTTTCTTTCTTTCTTTCTTTCTTTCTTTCTTTCTTTCTTTCTTTCTTTCTTTCTTTCTTTCTTTCTTTCTTTCTTTCTATTTTGAGAAAGAGTGTGGCTAAGTGGCTCTTGCCCAAGCTGGGCTTGAACCTGTGGTCTGTCTGCCTCAGCCTTCCAGACTGATGTGGTTATAGGCAGGTACCACCATTCCTAGCTCCTTTAGCTTTTTTGTGTCTGAAAGAGGAGCCCTAATTTTGAGGGTCTGGTTTTCCCACTCACAAAATGCATGGCTCTGCAGATCCTGGTGCTACCTCAGCAGAGAGCTAGAGCTGGTGGCTGTTTCCCATAGCCCTGCTTATCCAAGGCCCAGGTGCTGTGCTTGGTCTACTCTTGTCAGTCAGTCCTCAGGTCTTTGGGAAAGAAGCTTCTACGCCCAGACACTCAGGAAATGCCCTTTGTGTTATTAATGGCTTGGACAGAGAGATATTGAGTATCCCCTGGGGGCCCCACTCCAAGTTGAGGGTCTGAATTGAGGGTCTCCAAAGAAGGCTCGGGAGTGGCCTAGCAGTTGTTACCTTTGGAATGAAGCTGATCTCCCACCCATCGAAGGAGAAGGAGAAGGGCTCCCACTGCACCTCCACCGTGGTTTCTGTGATGGTCTTGAATCGCAGTCCTTGAGGAGTGGAGAGATCTGGAACACAGCAACGTGGGTGATAGTGTCATAGCTCCTAGCAGGGTTGGAGAGTGTGGCCTGGTGCTTTGTCTTGTGAACTCCTGCACGCTGTGGGTGTGGTGGCATGTAGTGGACAGTCCCAATCCTACTACAAACACAGTGAGTCCCAGGTACAGGACTGGCCCACTGTGATGTGGCTCGGGGCCTCAGTGTTGGTGTGATACATGAGCAAACTTAATAAGCACAGCCATTGTTTTCTGCTTTTTATTTTATAATAGAAAATGTTAATATAAAAATGAGTCATGTTCTCCTTTCCTTACTAATTCTTTCCTTTCCTTTGTAAATCTTGACATTGTATAATAAAGCCTTTTTATCAGAGATCTCAAACACTATCTTTGTAAGCTATACAGGAGTCTTCAGAACAAGATCGTGTCTAAAAGCAGCATTCCCATTTCATGTGCAGGAAGAGGGAGGCAGAGGGAAGGCTGGCTATGGAGAAGCCAACTGCAGAGCAAACACAGGAATATTTTTCTTGATCATCTGATGGGCACTGAAGTAATTTGCTTACCTCACATTATTAAATCTAGGATGGTTGTAATTTTCCATTTCATGTACGCAGGTAAAATAAACGCATACTCAAAGGACAATGGCAGATGCCAGATACTGGTAATTATGTATCCATTTTACTTTCTCCAAATTTCTTTCAGTTGTTTCTTCTTTATTCTCCCTTCTCTTTGCCTCTCATTATTTTTCTGGTCTTAATCTCCCTTTCTCTCTCTGCTCCTCTCAGCCCTTTTCCTCAAACACACACACACACACACACACACACACACACAGGTTTAGTGAGGTGGAAGGATGCTTGTACTAATGAAGTTCCAATTACCGGCCCTGAAATGTGATAGTGTGACTTTTCTCAGCTCTCCAGGGAGCATGCTCCCAATTTGGCTTTGCCTCTTATGGGCTGTTCCCATTGGAAGACTGACAGATACTCATCTTTCCTGTCTGGAAGCGTCTTTGTGCTTTTGGGGTCATGGTGGGGCTGATTCTGAACCCATTTGAAGGCCTGTCAGGTGAGTTTACATGATTTTGTCCTTGTCCCCCGGGAGCTTGCCTGTGGGATGCCCTGACTTGGCATAATAAACACCATGGAGATAGAAACCTCATCACTGTGTGTGCACGTGGATCAGAGAGGAGTTGCCTGGGAGTGGGGCCAGACACTGAGGGTGGTGACTCATCCCCGAGCAAGGTGGGAAAAGCAGCAGATGGTGACCCGCCTCCCCACAATCACTGCAGATATTTAGGACTTGCTCTCAGGCACCAGAGGAATTATTTAAAAAAGGGTCAAATATAAACAGAGATAATTACAGGCATATTATTAGAGCCAGCATTCATAGGGGGAGTTTAATATTATAATAAGACATTTGTCACCTGAAAAACAAGGGGACAAGATGACTCCTTAGTCCTGTCCCTTCTGTTAGTCCCTGTCCTTGCCTTGTTTGAAGCCCAGTTCAAGTCCTTGGGCCTCCATGAAGCTTTCACAGCCGATTCTTTGTACTTTGACCTTTTCGTTTCCCGCACTTTAGGCATTTGTTATCGAAATACCACCTTGTCATTTGAGACCTACATGAAATGGGCTCAAATCTTTTATCCCTTACCTGATGATTTATGCACCCACGGCCTTCATCATAAGGAATTTCATCATAAGGCTTGATGTTTTCATGGTCATACTTCTTGTTTCAGTTTTTTGTTACTGCTAAAATCTCTTTATCATTTGGGCCTTGCCGCCTTTGGATATTCTCGTTCCAGTACTTAATCAGACAGACACCCTTTTCCTTGATATCCCCAGAAGACATCTCACATTAGGCACACAGGCATTTGTGAGCATGTAGATTTTTCATTAGATTTGGGGTGACAAGGAATAGCATGGTACTCAGACTACTAGCAATTTTTCTCACCTAAACTCTTTAGCATGGTTTTTGAAATTCCAGAGTAATACAGGCTTACTGTGGCAATTTAAGAATTCAGAAGTATATAAAGAAAAAATAACAGTGCTTTCATATCTCCTATTAAATGTTAATAATTGGTAAGTAATCTTTTCCATTTTTCTAAGCTTATATTAAACATATATAAAATACCAATCAATATACACTTACAGGAGTATTTCTCTGATGTGAATAAAAACTGTCCATTTCTTACGGAGATCAGCTTAGCTTGTTCTGGGTTCCTCTTTCCTCTCTCTTCCAACGAATCTTTCTCAATTATGTTCTAGAACTTCAACTTTTAAAACTAAAATGGATCATCAAGATATTTTCCTAAACAAAAGACTATAAAAATTCATACCACCTCTCTCTCATAAGTGGATGTTGTCAGCTGTGGTTTTAAACAAGATTTTTTTCTCGCTCTGCTATCCACTTACCATCTGTAAAATACCATTTAGCACTTGCTTATTATGCATCCTATTTTGTATCTCCTGGTTTTGAATTCCTAGCTAGGTTCAAAGTCTGTATAAATCTCATACTTTCCTTGACTTTAAAAAAGAGCCCAGCTTACATCAAGTCAGTATCCTGTAATTAAAGTACTTTTTGTACTTTTGGTTCTATAATTTATGGAAGCTGTCTGCCTTTGGAAACTTAATCGAAAGTGGTTTTCTAATGATGTGCCCTTTCCTAGGTGGGCAGGTTTGAGTTCTCTTCCCTTAAGATCAAACCGTTGTAGGGATCCCCGAAGAACTGAGAAAAGACACTGCTATCATGAGTGCCCGTGGTCTCATGGAGGAGAAAAGAAAAGTGAAGTGGGATAGGGGAATGGTACGTACGAGTGGCTGCCCTGGCAGTGATGGGAAGGCTGCGGATGTTGCTAATGACAGCGGAGACGCTGATGTTGTACGTGAGCCCTGGCTCCAGCTCCGTGATGGTGACACCACTCCCATCTCCAGGCACCCGCTGTTGGAGCCGGAGGCCCCCCAGGGCCGTCGGCTGGTAAGAGATCACATATTCCGTCACTGCCATCGGCCCGTCCCATTCCAGCTCAATGGACCTGTCGCTGATACCAGCCACTCGCAAGTCCTCTGGAGGGGCAACTACCGGGAGGCAATGCACAGACAGCATGAGCTCAGAGGATTGCCTTCCCACCCTGGACTTCTCTCCCGCCATGCCACCTCTGTATGCTCTGCTGGGCCCAACGGCTTGAGTGATTTGGAACAGGTTCTCGTATTTTCTGTCCTTATATCCCAGTCTCCACAGGCTACACGTTAGTGTTGTGTTGTTACTGGCTTGTAAAAACTGACTGTCACATTTTCAGGAATTTGGCAAGACTGTTGTTAGATCATGATATTTAAAGAGGAAGTTTTATAAACTTACAATTAAGTAAATTCTATTAAAACACAAGGTAATAAATATTCATGATACAGCACAGTTAAATCATTTAAATACATTTTACTATTGTCTCTATTCTGAAAGTGATTTTTATGTGTTGTATGTCTCAGTATCTCCATATTTGGTGATGTCATGTTGGTGGTTTGAAATTGGTCACAGAGAAAGTATTTACACCATGGAAACCAGCAAATGCTACATATCAAGGCTCTACTTCATTTTTCCTTCAGGGAGCCAGTTGTTAGATATTTTCTAGCACACTATTGGCCACAGTTTTGGTGGTTTAATATGCTACTGTTATCAGATTGCCCAGAGAGCCAATTTCTGCTTTGACAGGTAGAAATACTCATTCCTGGTTATCTTGCAAATTAGAAGGAGCTGAAACAATAAGTCTTACATACTACGACCTGATTAAAGCATTTAGGGTTTTCCCTTTCAAAAGAAGATGGCTTTAAGTTTTAAAAGAAATATGGCTTATGTTAAACTAATTTTCATTAGTCTTGACTTTGGAGATGATGACAAGGAAGCATTTGTGAAAGCTTTGATTTTTGTTCTTGTCTGATTTCTCAGATGCTACTCAGAGTTACCAAGGGTTAAACCACATCAAAATAGCCTTTCATGTATGAGTTCCTTGGGAAGTGAACCTTCATCACAGTGTGGGCATCAAATAATTGAAACTTTAAGACTAATTAGGAGGCTAACTTTGGTCTGTCTGTAATTGGACCTGCTCATAGATTAAGTCAAAGATCAGGCCAATATTTAAATGGTTCTAATTAATTTATACATTTACATGTATGAGTAGGAGAGGCTTTGGTTGGTGAAAGAGTTGTCACTGGGTTAGAATTTCTCCTCTGGGTAATCTCACCCTCTCACTTTGCCAAGTGAGTATGCTCAGGCCAGCTGCGTCTCACGGGACTGGAGAGCACCTGGCTCCTGGCACTCACAAATGAAACCTCATATCCTCGGCAAAGGCAGAAATGAGAAGCCCTTTAAATGATCCCAGACTTGAGGGAGAGAAATTAGCAGAATATATTTGCAATGCAGGATATTTGCTCTGATTGCTTTTGCTCAAAACCATTCGTTGTATAAAACATGTGAGAAAGCAGAATTTATTCTGATTGAAGATGGCAAATATGAACAGAAGCAAAACTTTAAAAATTATTTTAAAAATTTATGAAACGAAAAAGCATAAATGAAATTTAAATAATTAAGCCCTCAAGTGTTATTTTATAAGGTGGTATCATTTATAATTCTGACATTATTAAATCTGTGAACTGCTCTAAGACCTTTAGGTCTGCCTATATAATATGTAGAGTGACTCCTAGATCCAGGGAAGAATTGGTACAGAGTAGCTAACAGTATTTGGCATGATTATACCGAACACTTATTATGTACCAGACACAATGCTAGCGACTTTAACAAGGATCATCTTATTTCAGCCTCTTAGCAACATAATGGGATAGTAATTATTATTACTAATATTTTATCATTGAGGAAACTGGGTCACACAGTGAGCAAATTCAGAAACTAGGGTTTGAACCCAGTCAGAATGACTCTAAAATCTCTTAGCCAATATACAATTCTGGCTTTCAAGTATATAACATTTCAGTCTCTACCATCTAACTATAATTTTCCAGACAGACCATCTACCTATATGTCAAACTATAATTGTAAAAAATCCTCTAATAGCAGCCCTATGAGATGATTTGGATGGATGTAATTGATTATGTCAACTTTACAAAAGAAGAAACTAAGCCCAGTTGAGGATGGGTCAAAAGTCAGGGAGTTGGGCTATAGCAGCACCGATTCTCATACCCAGATGTTCTGTGCTTTGAGTTCTTATTCCTACAATTTATAGAGTAGGTTGTAGATTGCACTAGATGGCTTCCCTTATTTCTACACAGTCCCTCCACATACACACATTAGAAATCATTTGAATGATCTTACAAAATGTGATCTCCAGACTGGTGCTCATCTTAGAGATGAGAAATCTCAAACATTTTTTCTAGTACCTGCTTCTTGTGATTGAACACACTGACTCTGAGTTTCTTTAGCAGGTCTGCTCTGGTCACAGTGACAGAAATGGCCATTTCAAGTCATCAACAACTCTTAGGGCATGTGGGGCAAGTCAGTGTATTCCTTTTTGCTTTTTCCTTCCAGAAGATAAAGTTAATAATGACCACAGAGGGTGAATTAAGCAGAGCATTTTAGAATTTTAAAGCAAAAACAAAATGCAGAAGCTTTTATCTTGTTAACTTGGCGGAGACCTGATTCTGAACAATTGGTGTCATTGACGGTACAGGCACTCTCCCGAGAGGTGGCTCAATGGAGGAGGCCATCACACTTGCCCTGTAAGTCAGCAGTAGCTGTGCACATTGGGTGTCACTAATTCCAATCAAACAAAATGATACTTAACTATAAAGCAAACTGAAACTGAGACTTATGCCATAATTATTGCATCTATGCTGGTGCAAAGCATTCTTAGTCTTACTTTCTTTGAAGTTCCAACTTTGACTTTGGGAAGACCGAAGAGCGGGTTGCTTAAAAAAGAAGAAACTGTGGCTTGAAGAATCAGGGTTGCTTATCTGTGAAGGAGCCACATCATTTACTTTTGAGATTTTCCATCACTTTTGCACTTAGAGGATGAGAGCAGTTGAAATTAGTTCCACAATATGTGTTGCTGCAAAGATAAAGTGGCTTCAGGGACCAAAGCTTGGGTGGGCTGCCCTCCTGACAGAGACGAAACTATGATGCTGAATCTCTGCAGGTCTGACTAAAGTCCAGGGCAGAGCTTTCTGGATTGTTTCAAGTCCCTGCCCTAGTGGTTCCTTCATTCTGCTTACTCACAGGGAGCTATGGTCAGCTCACTGGCCACCTGCCCCTCACCTACACCACTGGGAGCAGATGCAGACAGACAGTTCTGCATGCTTCTTCACCTCATCTCTAACACCTCATTTTTCATCATTTGATAGGACTCAGCTTTCATATCAACAGGTCGCTTCTTTGTGTATGTAGCTTTAATATTTTTATCCCTCAATTCTGTTTTACTTAGCATCTCAGAGAGGATTAAAAACAGCAAGGAGTTGGTAGGAGACCAGGGTTCTCATTCTTACTCTGCAATTAATGAGCTGTCTGGCTTAGGGGAAATCTTTCTGTCTCTCTGGATTGCTGCTTTTAAACCTGTGAAGTGAGAAGCTTGGAGTAGTTTCTTTCTAAGGTCTGCCTTAAGAGCTCATATTCATTTTTCTCTGTTCTATTATCTTTACATGAGAAGAGGATGGAGGCAGAAAGCTTGAGATCTTGTCCCATGGCACACAGTGAACAAAGATCAAGGCTAGGAGCCAAATGTAGTGGCCTTGCTGTCACTCTTATATCGCATTCAAGTCCTGGGGACCCAAGGAGCTTCAGAATGAAATTTACACAATGGGGAGCTATTTTCCATGTCCTTGCCTAAGAGAAAGTGATGACCCACAGGAAGTCTACTCTGTGGTCTCCATGCTTTCTCTTTCCTGAACCTTCTCTCTCTCTCTGCACTCCTGGGGACAATGGGAGGAGCAGCGCTCTCGCGTGTGCACCTGGCCAGAAATGTCAAACAGTGGGCAAATCAGCCCCTTTCCTACAGCCTTTTCACAAAGAGCAAGCAAAGGAGCACTTTAGCTAATGACCTAGATACTTCTCAGGAAGAGACCTGTGGCCTTTGGTTTTAAAGGCAGGCATGAAGAGCAGTTCCTCCTACATTAAGAGGTGGCTCCAGGGTTGCTATAGAAACAGATGGAGATTATGCAACTGTCCTTCCTCACCTGCCCTGGGCACCTATAAAGTAATTTATCAGGGCCTAGAAAAACCTTCCTCTAGCAGCAGAGGTAATGTGTTGGAGGTAACATGTGCTCATAGTTTGGACTCAATCCATCTGTAGTTACTCTAACAGTTGCTCAGTCTTTCCATCATGGGCCTTGTTGGGCCTCATCCACTATGTAGGAACCAGGTTATGCTTCCACCTTTAGTAACTGCCTGGTGACTGAATTTAGGAACACTGAGGCTTAATTTCTGTGTGAACTTTGCTTTGGAACAATTTGGCATAATCTTTGCAGTTTTAGAAAGATGTTCCTATTCATTGAACAAAACCAAGAGGCTAAAGGAAATATCTGAATGTGGAAAATTAGTATAGGAAGAATGAAAAAAAAAACTTCCTAAGTAGTGGATTAGTGTTTTGTTTCCATTTCACAATTGTGACTGGTCTTAGAAGAATTTAAATTGAAGTCATGTGTTGCTATTTGATGGGACTCGCTGTGATACTGAAGGATAGTAGGCCAGTGACACTGGCTTCCCAAGATTTCTCCCTTAGAAAATTCCTAGAATTATTCAATTAGAAGGTTTTAAAATGTTGGTCTGTTGCTATTTCTTATTTTAGAATTTCCCAGTGGGTATTCTGAGCTTTAAATAGAAGGATCAATTACTTAATCTGTACTGTTTAAAGCACAAGTTTACCAGCAATGGTCACTGATTCACCCAGAGAAGATAAGAAATAGTGAAATAATGAAAATAACCCGATTTGAGTGCAAAACATCAGTCCTATTGTGATATTGGTATCCTTCTCGCTGCCAAAGTTAGAGCTCTACCTTAGCACACCCCGTTCCTATCAGTTTCCATAGTGTGGACATATGTGTATGGCGTTGGTTCCTGTTTGTGCTACAGTCATCTGGAACAAAATGAGTCATACCCTTTTAATATTCCGTGCTAGTTAGAATGTTAGTTATTGCTTCCAGTACTTTGTTCCTGTTTACATTACATTTAATTTCTTGCCTACACACATTTTTCTCCATGTGGACACCAGATCATTTTGTAAATTAATAAGATCTTGAAATCTGTAAACTCCAAGATACTCACAGAGCATCACAGCCTAACCATCATCCCTTGAGTGGCATTATAAAGAAGGTGTTCCTGGAACATGGAGACAGGTGAAGGAGTTGTTTTGAGCAGATGCAACTCTTTGGAATCCCTGTGAGCTTGCTACGGGAACAGCCTTGCTAAGGTGGTTCCATGACCTCACTCTCTGGCTGCTATGGCTTGGGTGTGGTTTCAGTGGGTCCCTCATGGCTTCAGAGGTGAAATTTAATTCCTATTATGAATTAAGAGAGTGGAAAAGAAATCTGGTTGTGGTGTTTAGAGGTGAGGGTCCTTGAGAAAGTGATTAGGTTAGATAAAGTCATCAGAGTAGAGTCCCCACAATTGAATACTGGTGGCTTTATAAGAAGATCAGAAGAGATACACACATGTTCCTGGTCTTTTGGCATGTGCTGCCCTGCACTCCCTTGGGACTCTGCCACCAGAAAGCTACCACTAGATATGGCCCCTAAACCCTGGACTTCCAGAACCGTGAGCCAAGATAAACGTCCTTTCTTTATAACTCACCCAGTCTGTAGTTTTGTGTTATTGGCAAAAGAAATAATGGATAATGACCAGCTTCACCCCCTCAAGGACAGGAGGGTGTTGTTATCATTATTGCCAGCACCCACAGTGCTCCCCTTCCTACCTGCTGAGCAGTCAGGGCCCTGGTAGCCCTCTTCACAGACACAGAACCCCTCTTGGCAGGGTCCTTGGCCACTGCAGGCGTTCAGGCACCGCTGCTGCCCGCAGTCCTCACCAATGTAGCCTTCCTGGCATAGACAGGTGCCATTGATACATCTCCCCTTCCCTGAGCAGTCCCCAGGGCACCTCAGCTCCCTGCAGTCCTCGCCCGTGTAGGGCTCTTCACAGACACACTCCCCATCCACGCAGAGCCCCCGGGAGTTGCAGTCTGTTGGGCACCGGAGCTCGGAGCAGTCGTCCCCGCTGTATTCGCTGTCGCAGATGCACTGACCGTCCATGCACACGCCCCGGCTGGAGCAGCCCAGCGGGCAGTAGGGTTCTGAGCAGTTCTTGCCAAACCAGCCTTCATTGCAGATGCAGCCACAGGACTCCAGGCTGAAGTTGCCATGGCCACTGCAGTGAGGGATATAGTCCAGTTGTCCTGGAATGGTCAAGGGGAAGGTCAGAGGGCAGCAGTGGCTTCTCCTATAAATGGTGCCAGGGAGGCGAGGGTAGGGATCTCTACTCATTCTCTGCTCAGATGTGAGTTGCTGAGAGTGACGCTCAGTGTAGCTTGGTATCTATAAACTAACCAATATTTTCACCTAAAGTGGGTTTTCTGTGGCTAGCACAGTGCTAGGGGCAAAGTTGAAGAAAACCTTGTCCCTTGTCTCCAGGAGCTCACCCTCAGGGTGTCTCAGGTTGGGTTTCCTGGAAGTGGACTTTAGATGAAGATTCATGAAAAAGTGACTTACTGGAAAATGTTTGTAGGAAAAACTGGTAGGGAAGAGAGGGAGATGGAGAAGAAAGACAGTCAAGTCAGGCTGCATTATCGAACAAACGCCCAGGGAGAGGAACTTGGGCTCAGTCCTGCAGGTGCTCTGGGCACAGTGCGGGTCACATGTCATTGTGGGTCGAGGGCTGTCCCTGGGGTGCATGAATTCCAAGCTCCCCGTTCTCTACTTGGCAGGCTGTGGGGTTCCAACAGGCCGAGACGAGACTCTGACCAAGATGTCAGCTCTGGAGACAGAAGGCCATGGGAGGGGATGGAATGAGCCCAGGGTTCGTTATGCAAAGGAGGGTCACCTGGGTTACTAACCAGTCCTTCTGCCTCCCCACTGCCATCACTGACTGCTCATTCATCAAAACTCAGCACCTTGGATACTTCAAGGCTTCCTGGACCCTCAGGATCAGTTAGTTACTGTTCAAGAGTTTATGAATGTTTCTGTCCAAGTCCTTATTGTGGTACAGCTACAGTGGTTAATTTATCTGTCTAAATAAACTTATCAAAAATCTCAAACTTGCTGCAGATTTAGCTCAGTGGCACCATGCCTGCCTCGCAAGCGCAAGGTTCTGAGTTCGATCCCTGGTACCGAGTAAATAAATAAAGAAAGAAAGAAACACCATCCCCAACCAACTCAATCTGAGTACCTGCTCAGCATCCTTCCCAGCTCTTGGCCCTGAGGATGTGAAATCTAGTAAGCCCACCTTGCCTCTTCAGGCAGCCCCAGTGGCCTGAAAATATACTTCACTGCTGTTGCTTAACATAGCTCTTCCTTCTAGATTTTTTCCAATCTGCCAGGCATCCTGCCGGAATGCTGGTCAAAAGTCCTTTGCTAGAAGTCACCCTGGAGCTGGGCATGGTGGCACATGCCTCTAATCCCAGCACTCTGAAAGCCTGAGGCAGGAAGATCACAAATTCAAGCCCAGTATTGGCAACTTAGTGAAAAACTTAGTGAGACTCTGTCTCAATTGAAAAAAAAAAAAGCCGCCCTTACTTCTTGAGCAACAAAGAGACCATGTCTATGACTTTTGCTTGTTCTCTGGCTCCATTGAAAAGATGAACTGTGGGCCGGGATGTAGCTCAATGGCACCATGCCTGCCTGGCAAGCACAATGTCCTGGGTTCAATCCTCGGTAAAAAAAAAAAAAAAAAAAAATAGAACTGACCTGTCAGTTTGTCAGTTCTCACTAATGAACAGGAGACTGAAAACTGCACTTCCCTTTCTAGTCTTACACTGTCCGTCTGTGGTGTTGGTTATCAGGGGCAGAAGAAGTGAGAAAAATCCGGGAAACACTTCCTATTGAAAGACTGACATTCATCTTGCTGTGACTCAGGAGAGTGTGCCTGCTATCCTTGGAAGTTGTGGGCCATCCAGGCTGTTAAAACTTCACTTGCTTATACCCCAAGGAAGCCCTGAGATACTGGATCTTGCAGGAGTGAACACTTGCACCTAAGAGAATATGACTAATGCACCTTCCCATCTTAGAGCAGCTCCGCCTTGGCTATGAAAAACTGGGCAGGAAGTTGACTGGGGTTATGATAAGGCAGGGAATAAAACTCCCATCTTACTGGAGAAGGTGGGGACAGATCCTCTGAGACTTTAATGACTATCATTTACTCATATGGGAGAAGGCTGCGACTGAATGAACAGAGCACCTGCATTCCCTAGTCCCTCTGGTTAACATGAATAGATATCAATCCAGCAGCCTGTGAAAGCCAAAGATGAATGAAGACAGACATCAAATTCCCTGCTTACCAGCCAAGTCACTGTGCTGAGCTGATGTACCATGACCTGACTCATCCCCCCAAAATCAGGTTAATGTATTTCAGACTGGCCAAGCAGTGGAGGGAATCCCTGAGCTGAATCCCTGGGGAAGGACTGCATTTGGATCTTACAGACACATTAACTGAGAGCTATGCGTGGGGACACTTTCTTTCTTGGGCTGTGGACAGGGATGCAGGGTGCTGCCCCAGCTCCCTCATTCATCCCCGCCTCTGCCCTCTCCTGCCCTCTCCTTCCCCTCCACCAGCCCTCACACTCTACCTGTGGCGGTGCTTTCCTGGCAGCAATTGGTGGTGCACTGGTCCCGCAGCACTGACACCTCCCTCTCCAGCGTCTCGATCCGGCTCAGCAGCTCCCGTAGCACGTGGCCTGAGCTGGCACATGGGCAGGCCTTTTTGGGGAGGTTGATCTTGTGGGTGAAGGTGACCTGGCTCTCGTGGTCTGAGGTTTGGCCAGTGTACTCTGCCAGAGCCTCGTCTTCTGCACTCACCTCCTGCTCAGCAGAGGCCTCCAGCCCCGAGGAGGAGCAGAGGCTGTCCAGGGGCATGTTAATGTTGTATACATGGTTGAAGACCACGGGCTGCTCTTTGCTGGGTGCGCTGTAGTTGCCAATGCCTCCTTCCTCCTCCACTGCCTGTCTGTGGACCCTTTCTGTGGTCACCTCCAGCTGACACTCCGAGGGCTTGAGCATGGAGCCCAGCAGGATCAGGTTGACGCCAATGAGCATGTTCTTCAGTGCCACTGTTTCCCCAACCATCCCCATCCTCTCCTGTCTGCTTGGGCTCAGTTCAGGAGCAGCTTGCAGTGTGCAGCATGGAGTGGAAAGAACCTGCAAAGAAATGAAGCGACCAGACGAACTCTGAGACCTGCACCATGGCACCGTGGCACCATCCTGCAGAGATCCTCAGGGTGGTGCTGGGGAGCCAGCTGGGAAGGGAGAGTAACTGTCAGAGTCAGAAGGCTTGAGCCTCTGTTCCCTGGAGGACTGGACCCCTGGCAATGGACGATGCTTCTGCTTAAGGGAGAAGCACATGAAGGGGGACTTCATGGAAGGCACATAGCTCCTAGATGACAATTAAGATGATGGGACTGTGGAGCCTTAGTGTCCTTTCCTATCTCTCCAGATATTTATTACAAAGGCACCTCGCCAACCACTTCCAAATAACTTACTCATTACCTCCTTTAAGTTCATCTATTCAATATAAGCTGACTTTAAAACAACCAACCAGGCACATAATATAGTTCCACGTAATTGTGACTGTTAATTATCCATGGGTACATTTGTGATTATCTGGGTCTCTGTGAGCTGAACTTTCTTTTAATCTTCTCATTAATATAGTTCCAGTGCTCCATGATCACAGGGTGCCTTTCTTCCGAGGTCTTGTTTAAATCGCTAAAATAATAAATTAGCTCGTCTGTTGGTTACCTAGTCACCAAGAACCATGGAGTACAATAAATTCACGGTAATAAAAATCAGTTTAACAAAAATTATATTCCCTTTTTATTCCCCATGTAAAAGAGAAAAGAAACCTACAAACTTTGGTCTTTAAGGCAAACTTAGAGCTACCAAGAAAATTAACAACTTAGGGAACAAGTAAGGATTCCTATGAATCTGAGAAGGTAAAAAGTGTCGGCTGATAATAGATTGTGCTATGCACCTCACATACAACCTTAAGTCAGCTCTCTACGCAGCCCTATAGTGGTGTGTTATGATTATGCTCATCTTTCAGTGGAGTAATTTCTGCCTAGAGAGGTGAAGATTTGAATGCAGGCCTGACTGGCCCCCAAACCTGGGCTCTCAATGACGTTCCCAGTACCTTTCTTGAAAAGAGTGTCTAGTTTTCTCTTGTTGCTGATGGAAATTGTGTAAATTTGAGACACTTCCCAGAAATACTAAGATTAGAAAGTTTCGTTTGGGGCTGATTCAATGTTCCTTCCTCGTGAAGCATTCTTCTCTCATCTTTTCCCTCCTGTTCCCTTGTCTGTTCTCCCAAATGCAGGGAGAATTAAATTCCCATGATCCCCCTTCTTTCAGGTCTTACCATGCTACACCAGAGGCTTCCTTTGCCTGCGTTTCCCCACCTGGCCTGCTAGGTCCGTTTAGGTCAGACAGGGTCTTATCTACAGCACGTGGGTGTGTGTCCAGGACAGTGAAAGAGCTCAGTACATAGATTTTGAGTGAATGGAGGGGTAGATATATGAAAGGATGAATAAACAGATGAATTAATGAGTAAATGCTCAGTGAAGTGAGCAAAAGGTTGAATCATTCTCCAATTCATTTAATCCCTCTCCATTGACCCAAGTTATTCACTGTTCTCTTCAATTTCAGCTCTGGGCAATGTCTGAGAGTTGATTGAATTAGGAGTTACCCTGTCTTAGTGACTAGCATAAAAGCATGTTTGTTACTCAGCCCTTATGTGATACACTGGACTGTAGTCTGTTCCTGTTTCCAATGGAGAGGAAGCAAAGCAGACTAGAGCTGTTGAGTCCGTGGGCTCCCGAGTCAGACTGCTCACTCCAAACCACAGGCCTTTCACTGTGCAGCTGTGGGAAGATCACTTATCCTCTCCGCTTCTTTGTTCCCCTATCTATAAAGTGGAGATAATGACCGTGTCTACCTTATAGGGTTGAAGTGGTGACTGTGTTATGATGTACAATCCTTACCCAGTAACTGACATTAAAATAGGTAAATATGGTTTGCAATAATTATTCTGGCTCGTCTATTCAAGGACCACCCTGAAACTGTTGGAACATATGAAATGTCTTATTCATCAGTGGAAATCAGGAAAGCTTAATCCTTAGCATATCCTTGAACAAAGATTGGTGAAGTCCTTAGTATTGTGGGAGGTGGTGATCCACTGGGCACATTCTGAGGAGGTAAAAGTACCTTCACGATAGGTGGAACGATGTGCCTAAACCGAACGAACCTTACAACCCTAAGATCTTCCCGAGTTCCTCTCATCTGGGGCTCTTCTCGCCTTCTCATCTTCAGGGCCCCAGCCATTGCATCCCTGGTGTGTCACTTCTGCTCTCTGTTATCGATGGCTCTGCCATCCCATTTAATCAGAGAAGGTGCCTTGCTGTCTCTCCTGTTGAACTAAAGTCCCTTTATGTGACCCATATTTTTCTTATGGGAATTACAAAATTATTACTACCCCATAGCACTTAATGTAGATTTTGCACATTGTACACACTTGATAAATCAGTGTGAGAATAAATGATGTCAAAAATGAAAGGGAAGACAAGTGACAAGTATATCAAGAGAGAAAAATGTTAAGTCCCAAATAGCGACAAGATTCTAGAGACAAGAAAAGTTACAATTTTATATATAAAAAACATGTAAGTTTTTAGTCAATAAGTAAAGCTAGTGCGAGTCAGTCAATAGTGTGAATTTTGTAACTCTCAAATTATCATTTAAACTTGGGCTTTATTAATTTAAATATAAAATCAAAGATAAATAAGGGTTATTCTGCTCTGTACTACCCTGATGATTGATCACTTCTGGGTGGCTCATATTATTGAAAGGGCTTAAAATCTTGTCATAGGAGAGGGAGAAATTTAGCATTTTGATCCAGAGATGTGAAGACTCAGGAGATGCATTTGTTTCTTTGTCACTTATTCACTGGACAGATGCTTATTGAGTACCTGCTGTATCTCAGCCCTTTGTTCACTGAAGCTACATTCACCTGGATGCAAGGGTGAGGAACAGACAATAAATAAATAAATACCCCAAATACTTATGCAGTGCATACTGTGTGATATCTACTATGTGATAATGTAACATACATTTATATTGCCTCAGTAAGTGGAAAGTGCTATGGAGAAAAATAAAAGACAAAGGGGGCCAAGGAGTTAACTGGGTGTGTGTGGAGGGGTTATGGTGACATTTTATTGAACAAAGTCCGGAAAGGCTTCTCTGATGAGATGAGGGAAGTGGGGCACCAAGCCAGGCAAATGGTCAGGGAAGTGCTACTCAGCCACGGGGAACTGCAAGTGTGAAGGCTGAGGCAGGATGGATCTGGTGGGTCCAGTGACAGTACGGCTGGGGCTAGGTGAGAGCACAGAGAAGCAGTAGGGCCCAGATCACACAGGGCCCTGTCAACTGTGGAAGGACTCTGGCTTTTCTTGTGGACCTATGGCTCCTGTTCTCAAGTGCATTAAACATTTATTGTGATCTACTCCAGTCCTTGAGAAACTCTCGGTCTCAGGAGGAGATGAAAGCACGAGCAAATAGAATGGCAATTCGATGGGATGGTGACCATGACTAACAGAAACCTGAAGGGCTGGCACTGTCCAGCCAGCAGGGAGAAAGACAAAGAGAGGGTGAAGCACTGATCAGTGGCTCTGCCAAGTATTTCTGGCCTGGCTGTCCAAGCGCACAGTAGGTCTGCATTTTCCAGCTCCCTTTTGTTTAGGTGAGACTTGTCAATAGTTTTGGCCAATGAGTTGTGGGAGGAAATGGTGCTTATCACTTCGATTTGGCACATTTGATTGCCAAGGGGACGCTTTCCGGGGCTGTCTCCTTCCCTTGGTGACTGGTTGTGTTCAAGATGGTGGCTGCCTTGTTGGTCTGGGTCCCTGAGTGACTGCAGAGAACAGAGCCCCCCTGCTGAGTCACAGTGGTTGTGCAGTGTGTGAGAGAATCCTTTGGTTTTGGAAGAACAGGCTTTGGGGTGGCTTTTTCTCAGAGCATAATGTATACTACCAGGAGATAAAACTGAAATAGATCTTAGTCGATTACTCTTTAGACTGAGAAAGGAAAATTTCATTATACAAAAAAGAAATTGTGTTTCAACGATTGTGAATTTGAATGGCTGTTGAATGCTAAGGGATTGGGGTTTTATATGGTATAAGGTCCCAGAGAGGAAGTTTCCACCAAATGGGGGGACCTGTAAGAAAAGAAATTTTGGCCCAATATAAAGAATACTTTTCTAGTAGTAAGAGGTACTGGTTGTCATCACTGGTAGCAAGTTCTTGTCACTGTGTGTATTCAGACACAAGCCAACACACAGCTTATTGAGAATGCTGAAAAGGGCTTTTCAGGCATCAAAGGGGTCTAAATGGGATGAAAATGAATGTTAAAGTCTCCTCTTCCCTGGTACTTTATGAATTCATGGTCTTGGTGGGCTTTTAAGAATACACCCAATATAATACTATATTAGTTTCCTAAGACCTCCATAACAAATAACTACATGTAGGTGGCTTAAACAACAGCAACATTTTTTCACAGTTCTGGAGGCTAAAAGCCCAAACTCAAGGTGTTTGCCAGATTGGCTTTGGCTCTGAGGGCAATCTATTCCATGCTTCTCTCATGGTTTCTAGAGAGGGTTGGCAATCCTTGGCATCCCTTACCTTTCAGATGCACTACTGTAATCATTGCCTCTATTATCACATGTTCTCCCCAAGTCTTCATGTGGCAGGCCACCTTCTTATAGGTTCACCAGGAATCCTGGATTAGGTGCCCTGCCTAGTCCAATATGGCCTCATCCAAACATAGCTAATCAAATCTGTAATGAGCCTCTTTCTAGAAGGCACTACATTCTTAGCTACTGGGGGTTAGGGTTTCAACCCAGAACAATTAGGGGACACAAGTCAACCCATTACAAATACTAACAGAAATTGGACCAAGGTATGCACTTTCCTTGTATTGTTTTGCTCATTTCTCACAGCAATGCTATAAACTAGGCAGGGGTGATATTTATGAATCAGGATATTTATGGTACTGGTGTGGCTTGGGCAACAACCAATCAGAATGGGCATCTATCCACCCAAAGGGGACATCAGTCAATCAGACTTACTGAGGACAATCAACAGAGCCTTATGGTTGTT